AGAGCTGGGTGTGTTTAGGCTCGAGGAGACTGAGGGGGATCTCATTAACACTTATAAACATCTAAAGGGTGGGTGTCAGGAGGATGCGACCAGACTCTTCTTGGTTGTGCCCAGCGACAGGACAAGGGGCCATGGTCACAAACTGGAACACGCGATGTTTGACTTAAGCATAAGGAAAAACTTCTTTACTGTGAAGGTAACGGAGCACTTTAATAAGCTGCCCAAAGAGGTTGTGGAATCTCCTTCTCTGGAGACATACACAACCCACCTGGATGTGTTCCTGTGTGACCTTCTCTAGCAGGGGGATTGGACTAGACGATCTTCAGAGGTCCCTTCCAACCACTACTATTCTGTGATTCTGTGATTTCACCATTTTTCTATGATACCACAATTAAATGTCAGAATAAGCTAAGATACTTGTCAATTAAAAATTATTTCTTGGCTGGACATCCCACAAACAACAAAGGTTAGAAGGAACAGATTTCCCGCACTGTGGAGGAAAACCATTTCAGGTAGTCAGTGATACTGAAATCCTACTCTGATGACTTCAGGTAAGAAGTTTGTCTAATATTAAATATTACATAAGTTATTTGTAGGAATCAGTAGAGTTCTGCTGCAAACTGGGGAACCAGCAAGGAAAACTCAGCAGTCTGGAGCAATGCAAAAACTGTAGGTGGAGACATCATCTGCATTGGGACCTATCACACAGCTTTCACTCCTGCCCCAAGTCCCTCTCACATACAGGTAGAACTAGGTCAAGCCAAATTCTTTTCAGTAGCCACTTTTAATTTCTTTGTTTCACAGTTTACTCTGGACATATAATTTCCAATCTCTGATGTCTTGAAAAGTGAGAGTTAGCAAGTTTATCAACTTCCCCCTATCTTCTCTAAAAATTTAGGCTAGACTGAGATTCACAGCATACTGCTCAGAGACTTTGGGTTCACTCAGTATTTCTTTAAATTAAGAAACTGCACTTTCTGTTTACAGCTTTTGCCTCAGTCAAGCTCCTAACACAATTAGAAGAAATTTTATTAAGAAATACCAAGTAAGTCTCATGACCCTACTGATCTGAAATATCTATAATCCAGAGCTCTAGTGTCCTTGAATACCATAATATAGCCTCATTAAAGGAAGTCTGAGCAGTAATTTTTAAAGAGACAGTTCCTCTGAGCCACAAAAGATAGACACACACAAAAATTATTACCTTACCCTAGCAAAGTCTCCAGCAAAATGTCCAGGAATACTTTACCAGTAATTTGAGAGGAAGCCACCTTTTCCATAGCAGCTCCAGACACATCTGATCCAAAGCCAACCAGAGGAATGCCTCATCCTCCCTTTGCCTACTGTTTCACACCTGGGCCCTCAGACACGCCGCTTCTTTTGAAAAGTGAAAATAATTAATCCCTCTCCCATCCAAATTTATGCACCTTGTGTAAATACCCCTTCACACAACTCCGTATCTTGTAGTCAGGCAATCTCATTCACCACTTTTTTGGGTGTCTGCATACAGGGAAGGAGGAAAGAAGGTTAGGTTAGTAACCTAAGTATAACATTTTTGTTGCAAGGCTAGACAGATTGAGATTTAAATCCGCTCTTTAAGAGAGTAATCGGGAAGATGTAAACAGTTTGGAATCTTGAAGTAACTACAGATTCAAAACTGTGACTGTGATGGGAGGAACTCAGCACTATAAAACAAGAAAGTAGCAGAATCAGAACAATACAGAACACCCAGATGTAGTCCCCCCTTCTACAGTATGGTTAAAAAAGGAGGAAGTAAAGCATGCCCAACATGAACTATTAAAAAAAAAAAGCTGAGTGGAAGCATCACATTGAAGTTATTGCTGAAATAGAACGAGTGTGGGGGTTTTTTTCAGAGAAATATTAGTGTATGATGAGATTATATCACTGCCACTTTTTTAGGATTATCCGAACAGAAAACAGCAGAAAATTTCCAGCAACATTTTTTAGGCATTCATTATAGCCCTTAAATAAAGACTGTTCAAATTCAGACTGCCAACACAGCAGTAATCAGCACTGATTACACCTTTGTTTACAAAACAAAGCATTAAAACCAGGAGACTTTCAGTATCCTGCTGTGCATCTGGTATCTCTAATTTCTCTCTTTAAAATCTTGTTTCTTGCAGCAATTAAAAATGTGACTGGTATCCACATACCCATTAAAAACTGTGCATTTAAAACCATTCCTGATTTAAAGTAGATGCAACACCATACTCAGAAAATCAAGTTCTGTTAATCTAAAATTCACAGAAATGTTCAAATTCTAAGAGGAAAAGTTTAATGAACAAAGGAATTACATACTTCTACAATGATTAAAATCTACAGATGTACTAAGGCAATTTCTGACCTTATAGATATATAGGTATAAATACCTTTTTACATTTTATAATATCTGACTATGCAAAAATGACAACATTTTCAGAAGTGACAAGGTGTTTGTTTTGACATTTTATTATTTCACAGTGTCTGTTATATAGCAACAGCATGAATGCCATACTTGTGTGTACTCTTGAAAATGATAGTGTACTTAGATTTTGAAAGTTGGAATAATTTGCATCTCACTTTCTTTTCACAAGTCAAATTCGAAAGATGTTATTTAACATTTAAATAGGAATTCAATTCCAGGATTTAATCCAGTAGTAGGAAGCTTACTTTTCACAGATAACATATTTAAGTAAAAATGAAAGTGCATGTGTTGGCACAGGAGCAGATCATAAGCCACTTCAGCTGCTTTTGAACTGAACAGTGAAACTGAGGTTTACTTTCCTTGGCTTCCCTTGGTGACAGGTAATATATTGGAATATTCCATATAAGCTATAGACTTGTATAATTTTAATCATGAAATAGTTGTATGGTTTGGGTTGGAAGGGATCTTAAAAATCATCTACCTCCAACCTCCCTGCCATGGGCAGGGACACCTCCCACCAGACCAGGCTGCTCAAAGCCCCGTCCAACCTGGCCTTGAACAGGCCTGGAGGTGGCATCCACAATTTCCCTGGGTAACCTGTTCCAGTGCTTCACCACCCTCACAGTGAAGAATTCCTTCCTTAAGGAATTCCTTCCTTCTAAATCTACCCTCCCTTCAGTTTAAAACTGCTATCCGTCGTCCCTTCACTATATACCCTTGCAAAGAGTCCCTCTCCAGCTTTCTTGTAGGTCCCATTCAGGTACTGGAAGGTTGCTATAAGGTCTCTCAAGAGCCTTCTCTTCTCCAGGCTAAATAACCCCAGCTCACACAGCCTGTCTTCATAGAAAAGGTTCTTCAGACCCCTGATCATCTTTGTGGCCCTCCTCTGGACTTGCTCCAACACATTCATGTCCTTTTCAACCCTGGGGCCCCAGAGCTGGATGCAGTACTCCAGGAGCAGTCTCATGATACCAGAGTAGGAGAGAATCACCTCCCTTGACCTGCCTGTCACGTTTCATTTGATGCAGCCCAGGTTGGCTTTCTGGGCTGCAAGTGTATATTGATGGCTTACGTTGAGCTTCTCATCAACCAATACCCCCAAGTCCTTCTCCTCAGAGCTCCTCTCAAACCATTATCTGCTCACCCTGTATCTGTGCTTGGGATTGCCCTGATCCATGTGGAGGACCTTGCACTTAGCTTTGTTGAACTTCATGAGGTTCACACATGCCCACCTCTCAAGTCTGTGAAGGTCCCTCTGGGTGGCATCTATTCCCTCCAGTGTGTCAACCACACAACACAGCTTAGTGTTGCTGGCTAACTTGCCAAGGGTGTGCTCAATCCCAGTATCCATGTCAGCAACAAAGATGTTAAACAGTACCGGTCCCAGTAGTGATCCCTGGGGAACACCACTCATCACTGGTCTCCACTTGGATATCGGGCCGTTGACAGCAACTCTTTGAGTGTGACCATACAGCCAAATCCTTATCCACTGAGTGGTTCATCCATCAAATCCATGTCTCTCCAATTTAGAGAACTGGATGTCATGTGGGACAATGTCAAATGCTTTGCACGAGTTCAGGCAGATGATGTGAACTGCTCTTCCTTTATCCACCAACACAGTAACCCCATTGTAGAATGCCACCAAATTTGTCAGGCATGATTTGCCCTTAGTGAAGCCATGCCAGCAGTCACCAATCACCTCCTTACTTTTCACGTGCCTTAGCATAGTTTCGAGGAGGATCTGCTCCATGATCTCCCTGGGCACAGAGGTGACACAGACTGACAAGCCTGTAGTTCCCGGGGTCTTCATTTTTCCCCACTTTTAAAAAGTGGGGCTTAAGTTTCTTATTTTCCAGTCAGTGGGAACTTCACCAGATTGCCACAACTTCTGAATTATGATCCATAGTGGCTTAGTAACTTCATCCACCAGTTCCCTCGAGACCAACAGATGCATCTCATTTAGGTCCCATGGACTTGCAGACCTTCAGGTTCCTTAGTCTCAAACCTGATCTTCTCCTACAATGGGCAGTTCTTCATCCTCTCAGGCCCTGCCTTTGCCTTCTGCAACTTCATGGTGTGGCTTGAGCACTTGTTTTTAAAGACTGAGGCAAAAAAGTCATTGAGTACCTCAGCTTTCTCCACATCCCAGGTAACCAGGTCTCTCATTTCCTTCTGGAGAGGGTTCACATTTTCCCTAATCTTCCTTTTATCATCAACATACCTATAGAAGCTTTTCTTGTTGTCCTTGATGTCCCTGGCCAGATTCAATTCTATCAGGACTTCAGCTTGATCACTGGCTGCTTGGATAATTTGTATTCCTCCGAGGCTACCTTGTTCATCCATGCAGGCTCCCTGGTGTTTTGGCCTGACTTATTCTTTGCTGGGATGCATTGCTCCTGAGCTTGGAGAAGATGACTCTTGAATACCAACCAGTTCTCTTGGGCCCCTTTTCCCTCCAGGGCTTTATCCCATGGTACTCTACCAAGTCGAGCTAGTCTCCTCTCCTGAAGTCCAGGGTTAGTGAGTTTTGTTGTGTGCCCTCCTTGCTGCCCTCAGGATCTTGAACTTTACCACTTTATGGCCACTGCAGCCAAGGCTGCCCTTGAGCTTCACACATCAGCTCCTTCTTGTTGGTGAGAACAAGGCCCAGCATAGCATCTCTCCTCATTGACTCCTCTATCACTTGAAGAAGAAAGTTATCATCAACGCATTCCAGGAATCTCCTATAGATTGCTTATGCCTTGCTGTGTTCTTCCAACAGGTATCAGGCTGCTCCTATCTATCTGTCTCCTCTGCTCAGTGTTCGTTGTCTATAGTGGACCCTCACTATAATGGGGTGGGTATACAAAGAACTCTGCATTAATCTACCCTCCCTCAGTGGAATAATTTTGGTTTGTCTTGGTATAGTTGGAAACAAGATCACCCTTGACATCTTCTTTTCTGTGAGGTTTTGTTGAAATCCAGGCTACCCAATTTGTCAGTTACAACAGGTATTTATGGTTCAAGCTGGAAAATGAGTGTTAAGCTCACTAAGCATGGAATTTCACTACCATTCTGCTTTTGTAGTTTTGTGGGCAGAGGGCTGCTTTCCTTTATTGACTTTCTGTATAGAAGTGGCTTACAAATGTCCTCCAGCCAATAAAATTGAGCTTAAGTGCTGTTTCAACACCACATCATAGCAATGAACAGTTACAGGAGTATCATGTCACTACAGCTTCCTCATCTGGAAAGCGTTCCTGGAACGTATAATCTGAAATCAAGTCTCAAATAGCAATGCTTTGAAAACGTCCATTAAGATAAACTACTTTTATGTCTTGTTCTGTATATGAACTACCAATAGTACTTTCAAAATGTAATGAAAAAAGAGAAAAATAGACAAGGAAAATAAAAACTTTATCAAGGGTCATTTCATAACTATTAAACTATAATTCAGCAGAAAAAAACCTAGCAATATATTGATTTTAACTGGTTTTGTGGCAAAACATAAGTATACTCAATTAGACATATGCAGTATGATACCTCAGAATTTTACTAAAGGCAGAATATGCTTTGTCATAGGCATACACAGCACAGATTTGTAAATGCTGGAATAAAATCCCACTTGGATTCAAAGCTGCATCTCTTACTCTCAGACAATTTAGTAAAGCGGCCTCGTATTCTGGCTGTCAAGTCTCAGGTAAAGCAAGTAACTGAGATCTCTCCCGCTTGTTCTAAAGCCTGTTAAATGAAGTTAACAGAAACAGATTTAATGCAAATGTGTATAAGGGAGAAGGTTTGCATGCCTGCTCCCTTGTAATACCCTTGGAGCCTGGATGTACATAAAGAAGCGTTACAAGGGAGGAAAAAGAATTTATTCCCATAATCTGCGTACAGTAATCCAGTAGTTCTGTGTCTGTTTGTTGCCTTTTTAACTCGTAAAGCTGATTATCATAAATAGTCTTTCTTTAAGTGCCAGCAAGCAGTCAGATCCAACTACAGTTTGATCCAAGCTATCTGCAATTCTGCTCTATGCCATGATGAAAAGTTCACATCTCTTTCTTCTGCTTTGATAGAACTGCAAGTGTTTGGGATAAATTTTTCCAAGCAGGGCTGAAATCCTAGCTCTAGCCTTGCTTTCAGAAGGACAGAGACTCCCCTCACAGTGTTGTTTTGCTCAACAAATGGCTCTCCTCCAACCGAAAAGGTCAAATGCATATCTCTGAACTCACACACTGGCCATATAAAAAAGACAGAACAATGATCATTCTAGCACTAAACTTTCCATAGTTTTCAAGATGAAGGACCCACAAGTTAAAACACAGATGCAGCTTTGAGCCCAGCATCTATAGAGCTACCATGACTCTAGAGCTACCATGCCACAAGCCTTACGACAGTTAACACTTAATTTAAAGGCTTAATTCTGGCAGAGACAAGGCAGAAGAGGAAAGAGAACAATTCTGCTTTCACTCCTGGTTTTTTTTTTTGTGCATGTAACTAGTCTCAATACTGAAGGCAAAAATACCTGAAAAAAGTGACCTCCTGAATATCATATAAAGCTACTCAGAAAAGTAGAAAATAAGTAAAAAGAACATTAATGATTAATTTTCGTTTTTGAATGATGGCAACTGTCACTAAAAACAGAGTATTGAAGGGCAGCCATCACACAGAAGATTCATTTTAAAATAGAAAATGAGTGTTATGAACAGGATAAAATTACCAAGCACTGGCAGCTCTGCAGCAGGCAAAACCTTGCAGTATGTACGAAAGGCATTTTGGTTTGTTCTTACCACAGTAACGCCTAATGCACCACTTGTGCAAGTCAGCTTGCTTACATAGGTTCTTCACTGTATGTTTGTAATGGCTATACATAAAGTCAAAAGGGCAAAAAACCATGAAACAATTTTACTTTTATGAAAATTAAAACATTCAAAATCACACTAATTATTTTAAGTAGCTTCATTGTGAAATGGAAAGCAGACTTTAGGAAAACAGGTGATTTTTATACCTGAGAGAATTCTTATGAAACAACATCTGGCGGAGATGACTTAACTTAAAGTTGTTCATCAAGGGTATTTCCCATTTTAGTTAGAATTTACTTCATTCCCCCATCTGCTCACCACCTTCTCTTCATGCTCCATCTCGTATTGCTGTGAGATTATACTCCCTTGAGAACTTCTCTTGTTTCAAAGCTACAGGAATCTTAAGATGCAGTCACGGGGCCAAAAGATCTAATTATCAGTCTTCAGTCTCACTGACTTCCAGCAATTTGCAATATATATTCTGCTCATAGCACGCTACACAGTAAAAGGCTTACATTTTGGCAAATCATGCAAGAGAAATGAAATATTTTCTTTCTATAAATTTTCCACAGCAACACAGTTGCAATATGAAAGTTGCAAATCAAAGATATAGGAAAAATCAGCTGTCTGTCCGTTGCTTTTACTGTACAAATTCAACAAGTACGGGAGCTAAGGAATGAAGCTACATTTGAGGATTTACAGTGAAATTTAAGTGTCGTTATTATAAAATATTTAAACAAATTCCTATTTTAATAAAAAATAATTTATAATTTATTTGTGTTTGTCTTTGTCAGGAATGAAATGCAATATGGAGGTGAACAAACTTCTGGCTTGGATTTACCGCTTTGAAGTTATATGAGAATTCTATTGGACTGATTTTTTCTTTATTTTTAAATATATATTTTCGTGTGAATACACTTTAGAGTATTTCCTCAATTGGGTTGGTTCTGCTTGAAATCACTGTGTTAAAAATTTTAAACATGCACAAATGCTCACTTCACAAACTATTCTTTCTTGTCTTATACTAACAGTTTACTGGATTATTAGAAATATTTGTACCTTCACTTTTATAAGACAGAGAAAGTATCACAAGTATCTACCTAAACAGATTGCTATGATAGAACATCTTGTTTTGTAAACATTTGGCATTTTTGGCCTACTGTGCGCTAGGTGCCACTTACACAAATCTTTATGATTCCAGGTCAGATCTTTGTGGTGCAGATGATCACAACTCCATTGGAATTACTGCAACTTTCATTTGCATATACTATCTGCTGGGCTGAGACAGATTTAAATCTGATCTGTGCCAGAGCAATCAAAAATGGTATGATTTCTTTACTAAGCAGCTTTATCCTAAAAATAAACTTTTTTTAAAAGTGTATGAGAAAAAATGTTGTTGAAAATAACACATTCTATGTTTAAAAACATTTCAGCACACTCCACACCTCCTCCCAAAAAAGGCATATCAAAATAAACATTGATCTGAGGACTTGACCTGGGTGTACCTTGACATTTAATAGCTATAACTATTAAAACTATTTCCAAGACCTTGCAATACCAGTATTTTTAGAAAGCAAAACTCTGCCTCAGATTCTAGAAAATCTTTGTAACTTTTTAAACTCAGCGTCACTATGAGAAAGGAAAATAAGCACATAATACTGGTATTAAAGAAATAAGCAATGTATCGAGTATGACACAAAAGTGATTTGGTAGAGATTGTGAAAGATGCAGTGTAAGAAAATAAATTTAATGTTGTCTTAGCATGTGAGAATTAAATCCAGTGCAGTCAATACTGTACTTACGTTGTGAATATCCAGTACATTAGTGATATGCTAACATACATGACACACAGCGTTATCCAGTCTATTCTTGTAATAAGCGGCCTGTTACCTTTCACGTGGAGAATGGCACTTGACGAGATAGTGCCGTTCAAATTTTTAGCCCGAACAACATAGAGGCCAGCATCTTTATCACACACCTTCTGAATGAACAAAGTATGCTTTGTCTCCTTTTGTAAAAGCTTTAAGTGCTCATCTGCAGTCAGTTTCTGGCCCTTCTTGTACCTGAAGCAGAGAGTCAGTTTTCAAGTCAGATTTGTAGCACTGTATGTCAAACAGAACTTCGCACATTCAGCCAGCCTCTATAGCACTACAATGATAGCAAGAGATAGAGCTCACTGCTGTCTTCTTATTCCTCAGTTTTAAAGTTTATCTAAATATGGTCAAATATTTAAACAATTCAAATTCCTGGATAATACATTCTTAATTCTAGAAATGTGGTTCTGAAAATAGTTTTCAATGGACAAGTCTCACTGCTGTATTGGAGAGAGTAGCATGAAGGCCTGGGCCCTCTGCTTTGTACTGAAACATTTTTGCTAGTAAGTTGTTGAGTCAATCCCCGTTCAATTCATTAATAGTCTCTTAAGATGCATAGGCAATGTAAAAACTTTCTGAACTTGTTTCTTCAGTGCAAAGAATAGTTAAGGACCTGTTCCTCCATCCACTTAACATTTACTTAGTACACATCATCAAACAGGATAGAATAATGCACCTGGAATTATTTCAGGGAACTGGTGCCATATTCTAACACCTAATAGTCTATCACCATGTATTGGTATTGACTCTTGAATTACATAATGGAAGCGAGAGAAAATTCTGGCTCTTCTTGCCTCGTGATGTTTCAGCATAAGCTACACTTAACCTAAGACAAACACAGAAATGCCTTTCCACATGTATATCCAATAAAACATCTACATCAGTACAAAATACATGATATTGCTGAATTTTTAATCAAAAAATCTATATTTCTTTCTGTTTTCATAAATTTCTAATTTGCAAATATTTTCAGTTTAATGTTTTTTTAAAGACCATGTATCAAGAATGTATACATTTTTGAGATAAATTAATTCTTTCTTACAATAAAACTGAAGGTACCTCTTGTTTCACCAACAATACTCCTCAAAGTGTAGAATACTGGGATTTAAAACAAAGTAACTTTATTGATACCAACACAGTATAGCACCGAGGTTGCAGTGTCCACTATTTTTTTCAGTGTCATAGAAGAAAATTCAGCTTACTAAAAACTTACAGTTTGCCTAATTCTTTACATGTGTAATGATAATCTTAACATCAAAACTTTTCCAGTAAGAGTCATATCTAATTTGAATACGTTAAAAAAGACATCTTCATTATGAAAGCCTAATGGAATAAGTGGAGAAATGGCAAATGAGGTAAAACTTTAGGGAAGTACGCCAACACACAGAGAACTACTACTAAAATCTTGAAATCCTGCCTCTCTTTCATTCCCTACTCCCTTCAGTGCAGAACTTATAAAAAAGTAATCTTAAAAGGTGTTTAGATTACATCATCTGTATTTCCCACAAATGCAGTATAAAGCAATCTAATTAGACATACAGCAATTTAGAGAAAGATTTTTTAACCTGTAAACTCTCTCCAGTTTTTGATAACTCTCACATATACATAGAAATGTGTGCTTCTATGTATATGTAGTGGCTATGTAAATATTTTAGCATGCACGCATGTGTATGTGCCTATCTGTCCATATATAGTGCCAAGATCCTGAGAAAATGCAGGTGAATTTACTGATGGTAAATCTGGAGTGCACATTTGTTTTAAGAAAGTATTGAACAAGTGGAATGTCATATTCCAGGACATAAAAACTGTATTATGTATTTGCTGGATACGCTTGCAGTAGTTTTAAGCTCTCATTATTCATAAAATTAATTTCATAATTAATTAATTAATCTCAGAGAGATTACTTCAAATAGGTTAATTGTCAAAAGCAATTTTGAAGGTGGGAATCATGCAGAAGTGTGGAGTAGAAAGGATACAAGCCATTTATTCTAGTCTACAGATTAATTACTTTGGTTATAAGTGGTTCAAGATGTCTTGCTAATAGGTGAGTTTACTACTTCTCATTATAAGCTACCCACCATGTCAGTGTAGGCTCAGGGAATCCTGTTACTTCTACTTCCAAAGTTACCGGAGAACCTTCCATGACGGTTTTATTAGACAGAAGCTGGGAGAAGTTAGGCGCCTGTCCAGTTAGGCTGGCCATGCTGTTCTTTTCTGATGAACTTTTAATCTCTTCTCGGGTGACCATCTGGCTCTGACAGCTTCTGGTGGTGTCTGATTGAAACACGAAACCTGAGAATGCAGCAGGCAAAGCATGCAGCCTGTCCTGGGTTTTAGAACAGTTATTCAAGTCATGCAATTGTTCTTGTGTTTCTGCCATGCTTTTACAAATTTCAAGGTGTTGCAAATGTGTTTTGCACACTTCACTCATCATGCTACATACTGGTTTGGCATTTATACTGCAGGAAGCAGTGCTAGCTTCAGATATTCCTTGTAAGCTACGAGTCAAAGGAGGTACTGGTCTGACTTTTGGACCAGAATCTGTTGAAAAGATACAAAACTTTTCAAACTGATCTGATGGGCTTTCCACTTTATTATTTGTAGCATCAGCATAAGCAGAATTTGTTAAGAGATCAGATGCACTCATCACATTCTTAATACTAGTGGTTTTCTGCATTTGCAAGCTGCAGGAACTGACATGCAGACTATGAGCACTACAGCAGCACTGCTCTTCTAGCTCTGTTTCAGAATGTAGGAGGTTGGATTCTGGTGTTTCAGAAAGCGGTGGCAAAGAGATATCATCAGGTGATATACACTCATATTCATCTCCGGAGGGTACTTCTTCTGCCAGGAATTCATTCTGTAAACTATCCTCTTTGGCTGAAGATGACAGCTCTGTATCCTGTGCAACAAGATCCTCACCAGCTGGACAGATAATTGGAATATCACCCAATTTATTCCTCTCCTTAAATTAGGATGGGAAAGAAGAGAAGGGAAAGAAGAAAAACAGAGAATGAGTTGTCATTCTGTGCGTCCTCTTTTCATGCAGAAGATAGCAACAATATTTGAAATATTTCTTCTAGTTAAGCTTAATGCGTGTTGAGAAGCAGGAGGAAATACATGGGAAATGTTCATTCGTAAGAAAACTTTGCAGCAGCTAAATGGAATTTCAAACTGGATAGATTCTAGCAGATATTATTATAATTACATAGAAGCACTAACCGTATGATATAACAGTAACCATAAAAGAAAAAGTTCCTCTTTTATAAACAAAGGACAACCTGTGGATTTCCTGTGCTCTTTATAAGAGCATTCACAAGGGAAATGTGGAGGAGGAGGTGGCCTAATTACATCTAAATGGGAAACAGTTACATAGCAATAAAAATATATGAACAGTCAAGTTACTGGGCTTTGATTCTTTAAGAAAGAGAGCACTGGTCATATTCAAGAGTTAAAGAATTACACAAACATCTTTAAGATATTTTCCAGCATTTATATTTCCCTCATTTTTTGCCAGCTGTTTCAAGATTTTATGCAAACACTAACAGAAACCAATGTTACTTTTTTTTTAATAGTATCTTGGATCCAGAATAATGATAATAATAAAATAAATACATCACTCTCATATTTCAAAAAGAATTGGATGTGGCATGAGTGTGTTAATTTTAATCACAAAACATCAAAGCCAGTATCTGATTCATTAATTACTTCTGTCTCTTGATTTTTTAATATAAATGTGTAATCAAATATTCAGGCCTATTTCATTTGTGCTAGGGCCCTCAGCATAGGTGTTCATAATGTTTTCTTATGCTAGTCTCTCACTGTTGTGTTCTATTAAAAATATGTAATCTATTAAGCAATATTTCTATCACCTATAAACTGTTCATTTAAATCAACTGGGCGATACACTGGACATCACTGCTTTCCAAATCAAGTTTCTTTGGCAGTATCCAGTATAAAAGTGCAGCAGCACATGCGTTTAAACATTCTCTTTGCTTTATTATTGTAAATAGAACCTAATCATCAGTGTACAAAATCAACAAAATAAAACTAAAGAACTTCGCATGTGCCCTGCTCCTGTAGGTATGGTAGTTTTAATATTGATGATTTTGCCAGTTAATAATTTATTATTTCAAAACCATGTGATTCACACCAGATCCATGAATGAATGACTGGAAGAAAGATGGGATTTTACTGTGTCTATTTTACTAAATAATTCAATCCAGTTGTAAGATGTTCAAGGCCAGGTTGGATGGCCCTTGAGCAGTCTACTCTAGTAGGAGGTGTCCCTGCCCATGGCAGAGGGGTTGGAACCAGACAATCTTTAGGATCCCTTTCGATCCAAACCATTCTATGATTCTATGAAGTTAAAGTTTGGGTATTAAATGTGTTTTCTACAAGCGTTCCCTGATGAACTCTGACCCGCAAAGTGTCTTTCAGTATGAATATATCATAGATATAAACATGATAAATTATAATTGACTGTCCACTTTGGTGAAATGTGTCCATTTTTCTCCTTTCCAACTACTTCGAACACAATAAATATTGAGCTACTTCTTCCTTCTGCACATATTCACTTTTTTAATTTGGGTTCTAACTAATTGTAAACCATTCCTAAAAACTGTTATTGTTTGGAATTAATTCAAATGCACTCAAAATATATTTTTGTGGGGTTTACAAGGGGCTGGGCAAGGGCCAGGTCTTTCCTTGAAAAGGACAGAAGTGGAAGACAGAAAAGCTCAAATGAGAAGAACCTGCTACTTCTTTAAGTATGGAGTGATGAAAAGGGTAGAGGCATCATAGCTGCCATACTTCACAGCTGATATTTGCTGGTTTGCATACCCTTGACTTCTCCCTTTGGCAGCTGAGGCACAGCCTGATGAGAATTGACAAAGCTGTGGCCTAGTAAAATAGGAAATAGGGCTATGGACATCTGCTGGGTGAGGTGATTCTCCTGAGGGTGGCTCTTTGGAACAGTCACAAAAGATTGAGTGAAATCTCAGCTCCAAGTCAATGATGGTTTAAACACCCATTGACTTGGAATGGAGGTAACAAAATGAATTAGGCTTAATTTTGGCTCATCAGCAGATTACAGGACATTCTGTATTGAACTGAAGATAACGTTAATATTAGTTGAATTTCTACAAAAAAATCACAATTTAATGTCTTAGAGTATTATTCTATGTTATCAGCTTGCAAAATGGAAATTTTAGAGTTCTAAATCAATTACCAATGTATTCTACCTTTCTGAAGACTTAGATATATATTACCACCCACTTCAAATTACCAGAATATTTCACATAGTAAATTATTTACATCCAAGATCCCAAGGCTTCAAACGTTCTTCAAACTAAATAAATTAATCTCATAAGACATAGGTCTGGTTTTGTAATGCCTGTATTTCTAACACTACACTTATTCACTGACAGATTGGAACCTTTCATATTCATTTACTGTACAGCCATGTATAAAACATGCTTTTCTGGTAGGATTTCTATGATTCTAAATGCATACACAGTCTTTCACTATCTAATTTCCTTTTGTGCATAGTCCTCAACATGCAATCTGTACTTTGGGGCTTATTTATGATCTCTGCCGCACAGAATTTTGGCAACTGAGATGTAACGCAAGTGTTTTGAGGTGAGGGTGAAGACAACTATTTGAGCTCTGTTACTTATTTGATGTATAGTGCCATACCAACAGTACAACAGATTATCTGTGACATGATGTCATACTGAACTGTTGACAGCTGTAGCTGTTTTCCATCATGTTTTTGCCATGACTGCTTTCCTGTTATTCACCCTGTAGCAAAACTGAAGCAATTCTGTGCTTATTTTGCATTGGACTTCTGTAATACTGTAAATGAGAAGCCTACCAATCTGTAACAATATCCACCACTTTTGAGAAGCAATTAATTAAGGAGTAAAATTCCCTTGAGAGTACGTGACAATCCCCTTCAGTTTAATGAAAAAAAAAAACAAAAACCAACATGAACAGTAAATACCTGTTTAGCATTGGTAGGAGACAGAGTATTGATTCTCTTCTCAGTAATGCTTCCTGAATTCGTAAGCAATTTATCCGATTCTAATGCCATCTGAAAGAAAAATGTTTAAAAATCATTTTTTTCCTTATGAAGACCTTAATGATTCAACAAAGAATCATAATTTCCACCATCACTTAGTTCAAATTCTGAGCTATGAGGCTTCTCTCATAGCATAATAATTGTAAATTAAATACTTCCATAGATTGTCTCTAGGGGTTATTTGAACATTAGGGCTCTGGGAAACACTAAAAGCAGTTTCCTCTGTTACTTTCTATATTCTCTTAAGTCTTACTATAAATGAGAGAGCAGAATATGTTCCTCCTTGAGGAAGGAGGAACAGCCACAAAGATGATATCTTTGCATCTTTGCATTAAGAATACCGTGGCAATAAGACCAAAGGAAAATTGGTAGAAGATTATGAAAAGAATACTATCTTGGAAAAGAAAAAGAGATACATAGGCAAGTAAAAAGAAAGCTAGAAAACCAAAATTCATAGGGAAGAATATGTGGATTGGACAGAAGGCAAAAGAGTAACTAAAAAAAAAAAAAATTAAAAGAGAAATGACCATGACTACACTGATACCCATCTTAAGGGAGGCTTCAAACTGAAAAGCAATAAACTTTCCAGCAACACACAAAGCCTTTTAAGAAGGAGAGTTTTAGTAAAAAAAAAAAAAAAAAAAGAAAAAAATCTAACCTGCTGCTTTTGTTCCTCTGCTTTGTCTTTAATAACAGCCTCACACGCTTCTTGACTATTTCTTTCTTCTTTTTGAACAGTAACCAACTTTTCAGAAAATTCACCTTTCTGCCATGGGAAAAGAAAATTAAGTAAGCTTATACATAATAGAATGCACCAATTGTTAGCTACATACTGACTTATGCTCTGTACAACAGAGTGGTGAAAAAAAGTGAAATCTTACTTAAAACCAGTCATCAGCACACGTGTAAATTGATTATGGCAAAAATATGCAGCAAAACCCAATTCATTCATTACTGGACAAGCAAAGACAATATTTTTCAAAGCTGAGGGGATCTTTCCTGAGGCAAGGAAAGCACAGGACACCAAAGACTGAAGAACTGAAGGACTGAAGTAGTTGGTCAAGAATCTGAGGAATATTAACCAATTTGTACCCAGCATAAGTAAGGAAAACTAAAGATTAAGAAAGTGACAGTATTAGGAAAAAAGAGGATAAACAAAAACTACAGGAAAAAAAAACAGGATTTCAGGAAAACTGTTCTAGGGAGCAAAAAAAATAAATTTGTGAGTCTCTAGAAAGTTCAGATTTGTCTAAAAGATGGGAAGGGGAGAATGCATTCTAAGCATAAAACATAACAAGGCAGAATTTGCATTTGTTCTTGTTTTCCTCCTTCCTTCAACTTCCCATCAGGACAGTCCATAACTGCTCTGAATGCAGTTAGTTGTACTTTAGATCAGTTACATTGCCATTCTTTTTGGCTAACACTATTTCTAACTTAAGCCTCAAAGTGTGCTCAATTGGTTACAAAGTACTTCTATAACAGAATTCTGTACAATACTGTATTTTTTGAAGACATCATGAATCTTTTAAAATTATGATGGAAGAACACTTCAGATTTCGAAGAACATCACAGTGGCACAATGTAAGGAAAACTTAAAAGTTTTATAGTTACAGTTTTGTGTATTTCACATCTTTAGCTGTCCAGTCAAAAGTTACAGTCCTAAATGCTTCTTTGGTCATAGGCTTTCCAACTTAGTCATGAGGGCTTTAAACTAGAGTTGCAAGGGGAGGTCCCACTTCAATGCAAGTGAAAGGAAGAGATGCCCTAGGCCTGGAGTAGGATCACAGACCAGGATGAGGGCACCTGAAGTGCAGGACAAGGGACCTCCAGTCAGTAAGTTGGCTTCAATGGAGAAGCAACTTAAATGCCTGTACACTAATGCATGGAGTATGGGAAATAAGCAACTAGAGTTACAGATGTATGCATATCTACAGGGCTACGATGTCATTCGCATCACTGAGACGTGGTGGGATGGCTCTTATGACCGGAGTGTACAAACTCTTTAGGAAAGACACGCAAGGGAGAAGGGGAGGGGGTGTTGCCTTCTACATTAAGGACCAGCTGGAGTCCGTGGCACCCCACCTGGGGCAGGGTGAGTAGCTTACAGAGAGCTTATGGGTCAGGGTTAAAGGGAAGGCAGGGGAAGGAGACATCATAGTGGGTGTCTGCTGCAGGCCACCTGATCAGGAAAACTGAGTGGATGAGGCCCTCTATAAACAGATAGCAGCAGCTTCATGTTCATAAGCCCTGGTCCTCTTGGGGTATTTCAACCATCTTGACATCTGCTGAAAGGACACCACAGTGGGGCACCAACAATCAAAGAGGTTCCTCAAATGCGTAGATGACAAGCTCCTTCTCCAATTGGTAGAGGAACCCACAAGAAAGGGTGCCATGCTGGACCTCGTCCTCACCAGCAAGGAGGGGCTGGTAAGCAACATGAAGCTCAAGAGCAACATGAAGCCTTGGCTGCAGTGACCACGAAATGGTGGTGTTCAAGATCTTTAAGACATTGAAGAGGTCACGCAGCAAGCTCACCACTCTGGACTTCAGGAGAGCAGACTCTGGTCTCTTCAGGGATCTACTACGCAAAGTGTTGTCGGATAAAGCCCTGGAGGGAAGAGGGGCCCAAGCAAGCTCGTTGATATTCAAAGACCATCTCCTCTGAGTCCAGAAGCAGTGCATCCCAAGAAGGAGGAAGGCAGGCAAGAATGCCAGAAGGTCTGTGTGGATGAATAAGGAGCTCCTGGACTTAATAGGGCACAAAAGGAAAATCTATAGGGAGTGGAAGTGAGGACATATTAACTGGGAGGATTACAAAGAAGTTGCCTAAACAGCCAGGGATCATGTTAGGAAAGCTAGGGCACAGGTGGAATTAAATCTAGCCAGGGTCATAAAGGGGAACAAGACTTTCTATAGGTACATCAGTGATAAAAGGAAGGCTAGGGAAGATATGGTCCCTCTCTGGAAAGAAAACGGAGAACTGATAACGAGGGATTCAAAGAAGGCTGAGGTGCTGAATGACTTCTTTGCCTCAGTCTTCACTGGCAAGAGCTCTAGCCATGCTGCCAAAGATACAGAAGGCAAAGGTAGGGACTGGGAGAAGGAAGATCTGCCCACTGTAAGTGAAGATCAGGTTCAAGACCCTCTAAAGAACCTGAAGGTGCACAAGTCCATGGGATCCGAGGGCAGCCATCCACTGGTCCTGAGAGAACTGGCAGATAAAGTTGCCAAGCTGCTATTCTGACATGGAGCTGTTGGAGTGGATCCAGAGGAGAGCCACAAAGATGATCAGAGGGCTGGAGCACCTCCCCTATGAGGAACGGCTAAGAGTTGGGGCTGTTCACCCTGGAGAAGGCTCTGGGGGGGACCTTATTGTGGCCTTCCAATTCCTGAAGGGGTCCTACAGAAGAGCTGAAGAGGGACTTTTTACAAGGGCAGGCAGTGACAGAACAAGTGGGAATCGTTTTAAACTGAAAGAGGGTAGGTTTAGACTAGATATTAGGAAGAAATTCTTTACTGTGAGAGTGGTGAGACACTGGCACAGGTTTCCCAGGGAAGTTGTGGATGCCCCCTCCCTGGAAGTGTTCAAGGCCAGGTTGGACAGGGCTTTGGGCAACCTGGTCTAGTGGGAGGTGTCCCTGCCCATGGCAGGGGAAGTTGGACTACATGATCTTTGTGGTTCCTTCCAACCCAAACCATTCTATGATTCTATGAAATAAGTACTCATAAGAAAGTGCTGCACTACTAATTTTCCATTCTAGCATTAAACAAATGAAAAATTCTGTGTGATCTGTTCAATCTATTATTTTTCTGAAGAAAATGTAGTCTTCAATTTTGCACTTGCAAAACCCAAGAGTTGTCTTCTTCTGACATTCAACAGCCATGTAAAATCAGGAGAGATTTCTCCTTAATCTGTTACTCTTTAAAAATGACAAGAAGTGAAAGAGAGTTTACACTCATGGCATCTATTTGTGCAGGTAATTTGCTGAATGATTTATTCTTCATAAGATACAGACGTCGACTACTGAGATATTCTGAAAATCTTTAATAAGAATATTAGTTTTAAAATCTCAGAATACTACATATTGTAAAAAATAACTTTAATTTGAAAAAAGTTGCAGAACTACTCTATTGCAGAAAACTCATTTTTTATAATATTCCTTTTGAACTTAGAAGAATTATCTAAATTATGTGTTAAAGTAAACAGTTTATGAATGGTTCTATGTGAAAAAGTTCTCTCTAAACAACTCAATTAAAGGAAGTTAACTACAATTAGCAAAAAGAGTCAAAAGTAAAATATTGCAATTATTTTGAAATTCCACTTCTCTTGAAAAGATCCCTATTATGTTGCGCTAGCAAAAATGATCAAAGATTGAAGTTCTGTTCTGACAATACCTGGGGCCACTGTTATGCACACAATAGCATTTATATAACACATGGACTGGGAGGCAAACTTTGAGATACCGAATTGACACATAATTTGAAATTTCTTTATGGTCACAGTGCAAGGCAAAGCCTTCTTTTTCCATTCATCTAATGACTTTCAGAACTCATCTGTATTTTTGTCATCTCTTACTGCTTTTAAGTTAATGGGTAATTTGAACATTCACTATTTTTTATACTATAATTCCATCAAAGAAAAGTGAAACAACATTCAACATCAAGAGCAGGGTATGTAAGCATCTTAACTCTTCCAACTTCATAGAATTAACAATATCAGCTATTGCTGCATGTTGAAGATTTCTGATGATTTCTTTGAGAGTTGGGGGTAGACTTTATTACAGAAATCTAGTCTGTTAAGCTGTCTTTAATAATTCCTCTTCAGTTGGTATGCTACACTTAATTACACTTAAAGAAGCTTATCAGAATACACAACTAAAATGTTATCATTCTCTTTAATACTTGTTATAAGCCACATTTAAATGGCTTTGTTTTTAACACAGCTTGGTTTTTTTGTTTTTCTTTTCCAAGCCAAACCAGACTGTTTGTCATTTTATAGATCTAGCAGCTACTTATATTACAGTACCAAGAGACTGAGAAATAAGAAGAAAGTATTTGTCTAGATACTCAAAGAAATTGTGACATTTCCCCCTGAAGGTTACTTGAAAGCAGTAACAGTTCCAAAAGAAATCAAAGAAAAGAAGCCTGGGAGGAATATTTAATGCACAAACAAGTAGCACTTCATTGGCTCCTTATGATCATGACCTAAGGTAATGGAAAGTCGAAAAATAAGGAAATGCTTCATACTACCATAGACGATTCTCAGTGAAAAGTACTGATTCAGACACAGAGCCTGATAACTTGATGCAGATGCAACATATTCGCCAGATAAAAAAGAAAAATACCTTAAACTCCTTGTGTTCTCTGAGAGATCTACATAACTCATCAATAGAGTTAGTGATTTCTTTATACTTTAATATAGCTTTTTCAACATACTTCTTTCCTTCTTCAGTACCTACAGAGGTAAAACAACATAAAAGCATAATAACCAGAATCAAACAGATGTGCAACCAATGTACTTTGTAAACCAAATACACTACAATAATTACATTTTTCTGTGTTTTGTTTTGCTGAAGGAGTTCTCTGATTTGCAGCAGTGTGCTTTCCTAGCTCTTATTAGCTTACTTGACATGCGCCCTCATAGTCACTGCAAGGTCTTCTGCTAGGCTTCTACTTGAACAAAATTACTTCTATCTAGTTAGTGATACTGCTTGTGAAGATGCTGACCTCGTAAAGTGTTTCCTAAACAGATTGCTTTATTATACAGCTAGGAGGCACTTAGATCCCTGCTGTAAGGACTACAAAACAAATGCAGGATGGAGAAGCTTTTTCCTCACTTAATGACTTAAAAAAAAAAATCACAAAGCAGCTTCCTTATCCCAGTCATTCTAATCAGATGGTGTCAAGAATCCACTCTGTCAGCTCCTTTCCTACAAATATGAATGTTTACAATATTGAGAAGGTTAAAGAAAGAAGAAGAGAAGAAAGTGATCTGTGCTCTCTAAATAGTCTTTTCAACACTAAATTAGAAGAATTTAAAAGCACAGTTTGATTGTTGAAATTTTTTCAGATTTGCTACTTGAATTGATAGACTACACAGTATCCTTGTACATTTGGATTGTCACCTCATCTTTGCATAAAATAACATCAAGAAACATTATATATACACATATATAAACATTACAAGTGGGAGAAAAAAAGCAAAACATGAAGTTTGTTGAACTGCATTATTTTTGGCCAACAATGTTCCAAATCAATAGAATTGCAAATACAGTATTTACATAACAATGTAATTTTTTTGCTAATAAAATGCTTAATGCTTAAATTGTCAAATTTGATTTGACAATCAAATACCACTAGTTATTCACAGTGTTAATGTAAAAAATTCACTCATCACTGAGCTATATCACTGTAACTTACTTTGACTTCAAAGGCTTGCCTGTTATGAGACAGCATAAGCCATGAAGTCTTAATTCCAAGTTCATAAATATTACAAGGACATTCCCACTTTTATTTCAAGGGGAACTCAGGCTGTATATAGAAAACCAAGTAACTACCAGACTGAGTACATTCATATTTTTATTTTTTAAATATTGGTTCTGAAATCCTTCACCTCTTCCAGTCAATACTTTAAAACGTCTGTTTTTTTTAACATCATGGGAATCTTCTTCTTAAATGAAGAAAATTAGAACCTACTCCCTCCTGTCCTAGTTATAGTATTTTTTCCCCACATACATTACCAGACAGCTCCTCACCATACAACTGTTTAGCAAGGTCCATAATCTGCTGAATTTTTTCTTCCTGTTGAGGCACTGCAGGCTCAATGAACTTATTGAATTGTTTGTAGAGAGTCTCTATTGCTTCTCTTGTTTCGCATTCTGCAGAATACTTGCCAACTCTAATGACTGTTGCACTCATATCTTTAAACCAAAATTGACACTGAGGGATAAAAACGCCACATTATAATGAATTATCAACAGTTCAAGCTTTTGTAGAATAGACTGGACTGTTCTTAGACTTTCCATTATCTGTGGCATACAGTATATGTCTTAAATTTTCCAATTTTAATTTAGCCTGAAAAACATTTGCTCATTACCAATGCTGTTTCAAATATATTTCAAAATGTTTCATATATATTTCAAAATTACCTGTTAAATTTTCTCTAAGCATTAGATCCATGGTCATCATACAAGCATGGTGGGGTTGTTAGTCAATGGTTCTGCAAACATATGTTTTATTTCTGGGTTCTTTCCAACTTGTATAGCAACTGATTAATTTCGCAAGTTTTGTATCATGGCCACAGTTATACCTCTGTAAGGGCAGCAAGGCTGCTTAGATATAGTATACTAGTAAACAGGGGTTTTGGTCTCGGCAACCATTAAAGTTGTTAGCAATCTTTCTACTGACAAGAATGGGCTTTAGAATATAGCCTTAATAAATATTTTTGGTTAACAATATTCAGAGGACAGAATCTGGTGTTCACTCAGTATCATCCATATTGCATCATTACAGCAAGCAGCTAATAATCACAAATTTTAACTGCTACTAAAGTCAGTATTTAAGACTGCCTATTCGCTGAAAGAAAACTGTAGAGTAAAAGGTGATACTTTATACTATGTAAAAAAAACCCTTAAATTTTAGCTCTAGGAAAGAAGTAAGGGAAGGGATTTCAAAAAATGCAAATACACAACAAATAGTAACAAAATTGCTTTGCTAATGATATATGAAACGACACATCAGATCACTGGACACTGAAAACATCTTTTAAACAAAACAGTACTGTGAACCATAATTAAGGCAATTTATTTGCTATGCATTTAGATCACTTTGGAGATATGAACAGTGTTATTTCTAAAAATAAACGATGACAGGAATGTGCTTGACCCACAGCAGATGCGTCAACACAATGTGGCAAGAGGGAGAATACTGTTACAAACTTTTGTTTTTCCTTTAAAAAAAGGCAGTTGACCAGGCAGTCCTCAGACACATTAAAATAAAGTTACAAAAGTCTCCAAGAAGACTTAGACTGTGATTCAGAAAAAAAAACCAAACATGTATTTGACAACTAAGTCTATTAAAAAATTTACATCGCTTTTAAGGAACTTAATGTTTTACATTTCAGTTCCAGAACTACATACCACACAGCTCTTCCTGACAACTGACAGAGTAGGTACTGTAATAACCTGACTCTTGTGATTTGACAGCTATCAAAGAGGGCCTTGTGGCACTTTCTGTGTTTCCCCAGAATATACTCAGAGCAAATGAGCTCATAAATACGATCATTGATATGCTGAATTACTATGGAAGTCATATGGAGGTGGAGACTCTAGTCATATGTATAGCAGTGCAAGAAGATAGTCACATTGCATGGGTTTTTCCCCTCTTCACAAAGTTAAAAAGAAAAAATAGAAGAAAATACAGATTTTTACCAATCTACTATTTTTGGAAGCCACAGATTTTGCCTGAAGTAGTCATAAGCACTTTTATCTATCCCTGTCCTGGATCATTATTACAACCACAGTAGGGATCTCAGGTTTACTAGTACCTCTTCCATCATCTGTTGCAGATGCTCCACGAGATCCAGATTTTGCTTGTAATCCTCCACAACGCTGCTAAAGTCATTCAGCTGTTTTTGTAAGTCACTGATTGACCCCAAGAGGACTCTAAGTTTAGCATTAGGTTCATTTGCTACAGAGCCAATGACTTTCTTCTCTAAATTATCCATCTTCGTTTTAAGAATCTGTTTAAAAGATGTAGCAATGTTATATATTGCAACAAAAATGTTTCTATTTTTAGAAATAAAAAGGAAAAAACATGAAAAAAACCACACAAACCTGTTTCTTGTCATGTGTTTTAAAAATTACAAGTATGAGATGCTTTTTCAAAAATCAGAGGAAAGTGGAGGGGCTCTACAATGCTAATTAACATAAATGTAAATTTTATTTACTAACAGTGGAACTGAATTACATTTTTCAGCTTTAAAAAACCCAAGTATCCATAGTAATAAAACACAAGAACTTGAACAAAATAATTCTTATTGAATCTGCGAAGGAAAAAAGTACCACTAAGACTTTGGAGTCTTTAACTAAATACAAGTCAACTTAAGCATCACAGTTATTTATGCCCTAGAATATTGACATATTCCTTAAGAATTCAATGTAAGCAACATCAGTGACAATCTAGCATAATCCCAAACACTATGGGGAACAAGTATTCATACCACTACTTTATGATAGCTGGTATAAATATGACCTGTAAGTTTTAGGATAAGATGGTATGCATACATATATTGATATATTTTATATCCTGGGAACACTGGTCTGGACAGATGACCAAGACTTTGTTGTGCTAGTTGTTTTACAAGTCATGCAAAAAGACACGTCCTTGATTTTTGCTTGGGAAGGAAGAGATTTGTTTAAACTAGGAAAGTATTTAATGAACTGTCAACATAGAAACTTGTAAGAATATACACTGGTAGTAAAATGTTGCCAGCAGGTCAAAGGAGGTGATTATTCCCTTCTATGTAGCACTAGTGAGGCTACATCTGGAGCCCTGTGTCCACTTCGGGCTCTGTAAGGATCAGTCAGGCTCATAGTATAAACAGGTTTCACCAGGCGACACATGGGGGGGTTGCAGGAGCAACTCAGCCTTAGATTGCCTTGAGGCCCTGTTTCTGCAGAGACGACCCATGGGGAGCTGTGTAGATAGCTCAGCTCAGAGTTGTCTGGTAAGCAGGAATCTAAACAGGGCAGTGCTGCATCATTCAAAGAACGGAAACCTAAGTTAAGTCTTGAAATCCCCCAACAAATAATATGCCCTGAGCCTGAGTCCCAATCAAACCACTATTCAGTTGCCTAAAAGTAAGACAAAGATAAGCTGGAGGACTTCTATTTGGCTCCAACAGACCCAAACAATAACAAAGATATGCAAGAGAGAGACCACACAGAAGGGAATAACATCCATTAATAAGTAAAGATAAGGGGAAGCACTGCTGAAGACACACCCCAGGTGGTCTAATCCACTCAGACATGCCCCTGCCTGCTGTCCCACACACCAGGGAATAAAAACCCTAAGATTCATGCTAGAAATGGGGAGTTACTTCTCCAGTCATGGAGTGATGAGAACCTTTCCCCCTTGGTCGAGATGCTGACCAAGGTAACTTATGTGGGAGCCCTTACCTGGAGAGGTAAGTGAATAGTTGGCAGGCTTTAAGTTTGTAGTTGCAGGTGATTGACTGACACATGTGTGGTATTCTGAGTTGTCTGTGAGCTGTGACAGTGTGTTCCATGAATCACCTGGGAATTGTAATAGTGAATTTTGTGAGTAGCCTGAGAGTTGTTATGAATTGCTTATGGGCAGTAATAACGAGTTTTGTGAGCGGTCTGCAGCCTGTCGTGAATTGCCTGTGGGCTGTAATAGTGCATTTTGTGACTGTTGTAGTTACAACAGTGCATTTTGTGAATCTCTTGTGGTTCTAATAGTGTAGTCTTGCTTTTAAAACTGTAATAGCGCATTCTCCATTGTATCCATAAAACCTGCAATAGTGACATACTGGATCTGCACATGTTGTTCAAATAAACTGTTAATCTGAACTCTGCAGTAGAGTCTCTTTTCGTCACAGGCTCCCCAGTACAAGAAATAAATACCTGCACATACTTGAGCAAATCCAGGAAGGGGCCAGAAAGATGACTGAGTGAGCATGTGTTATACAAGAACAGAGAGATGGGATTTCTTTAACCTGGAGTAGAGAAGGCTAGAGGTGGATCTTAGCAATGTGTATAAAAACATGAAGGGAGACAGTAAAGAAAACAGAGCTAGACTCATCTCAGTGGTGCCTTGTGCAAAGACAGCAGGCAATGGACCCTAACTGAAATATAGGAAATTCTGTTTAAGAAAAACAAACAAACAATCAAACAAAATCAAAAACAAAACAACCACTTTTTTTTTTTACTCTGAGGGTGGAACAGCTTGCCCACAGAGGTTGTGGCGTCTCCATCTCTGGAGATATTCAAAATGCAACTGGACATAACACAGAGCAATCTTTTGTAGTTGATCCTGCTGGATCATTTCTGGATGAAATTCCCAAAAAAAGGGAGGGAACAAAAAAAAAGGTTGTAAAAGGAATAGTCAATGACAACACAAGAAATAGCAAAAAAAGACAAGAACGTAGTTGGATGTAAGAGGGAATATGTGTGCATTTATTGCTGATTTGTTGATTATGATGAGGTATTTGATTTATTTTGTGGTTTTCGAAGGACACAATACTAGGTCACACATACTGTGAAGGAACAGAGGTAAGATGAAGAGATTAAATAGAAAAATAAGAGAGGATAAAAGGAGTGAACACAGAAGTCAGAAATTAAGATAATTTCACTGAATCAAATGGGAGAACAAAAAGAACAGAACAATGAAAAATGTCTCAGTCAATGACTGAGACAGGGAAAGGATATAAAGCTGATTAACAGGAAAGCTCACAATAAATTTAGCATCTCCTCCAAACTGCTTGGCCAGAGCAATTCAACCAGTGAAGCCTTCACTAAGACTGAAGTTTCTAATATTACCTGTATTTTCTCTGCATATGTATCAACTTGCTGAATCTGTATTTTAAGTACTTTCAAATTTCGAGCTTTTTCCGTTTTCTTTGTATAGTTAAACTTCAAATTGTTGAATTTCTTTTTGAGATCCTTAAATGATTCTTTGAGCTGAAACACAGTAACCATATGTGTTAGCAAAACATAAACTAGCACACTTCAATTTAGGTTTTTTCAAGAGCTGTTTAAAAGACCTTGATCTGAACACTGAAAAGTTAATACAGAAGTTAATAATACTGTGCCTTCACATAAAGCAACCTTATTTTCCCAGGATTTCTTTCCATTACTGGTAAGTGCCAAATTAGTACTTCCATTAGTGCTAAATCAACATTTTTGCATTCTGAATGCCGAATACTGTTTCCAAGATGGAAAGATCATCAAAGGATGAGATACTTGCTCAGACAATTTATGAAAAAATCCTGCCTGAGAGCTTTCATTGATTTTAACTGGAGGCAGATGTCCTTTACATACTCAGTCAATTTAGTGGAAATTGTAGTCATGTAAATGTATACTCATGCTTAGTTTCCAGAAAAACGTAATTTTACTTGGCTTAGGGAAGTAGATGTGTATTTATTCACAGTATTTTTCTGCTATAATACAATATTTATTTTACATCAGGTTGGATTTTTTGGCAGGTTTCCCCCCACTGCCCTTTATCAGAAGCTCTGCTTACACATTTAATTTTAAACTTTATACACTGTGCTAGTCCAAACATCTTAGTACAATTATTCACAGCATACAAAGATGAATCCAGCTTTTTGCAGGATCAAGATGTAGACTACATGAGCATCTGTCCTTTAAATAACTATTCTATGAGTATGGCAGCAGAGAGATTCTGTCTAACAGACACCAAAAGCAAGCTCCATTTAACTACAGCTAGATAGATTTGGTACCACATGAGAGTACTATCACCAGTTAGCACTGACTTCATGGAACAAGCTCAACATTAGTGAAAATTATTCTTATCATAGTAAAAATTAAGATGAACTAGTAGCTCTGATTATGAAGGATTTTCAAGACTTCCAGGAGGATCTATATTAGCTAACTATTAAATTTAGTTATATTAAATTTCCGGTAAACTCTTCTGTTACTAAGATGGAATGTAGCTACATGTAGTCCTTAATCTACGAAATATTTCAAAAATTCAGAAAGATAGGAATGACGCTGATGAAGGTCTAGGAAGCTACACTTAAATTTACACACATATTGATCAGATGCATTGCCGGTTTATCATAATGAGTTTAACAAACGTCAAAAAAAGAGTCATATATGATCAACATAATTTAAAAAATAGTGTTTACTAACCATGGGAACCTAATATAATAATAGGGTTCTTATATTCTTTCTTTACCTTTTTTTTCCCTAATGCCAAGTAACTGTTTGCTTTAATGTTGTCTTACAAATAAGCCCTTAAGAAACCATGTCATTCTTTACATTGGCAATGTTGTAGAAATAAGTACATCAAACATACTCAGCTAAATTATGTTTAAAGGACTATGAATTTTTAAGTAAAAAGGTTTTCTTCAATATTTTTTCTCTGAAAGCTATGTAATTTTCAATTTTATTTACACTGAAAAAAATCCTTTTAGATATTAGTTACTTTTCAATGTCTTTAAGCAGCAGATACAAGAACTAGACAAGTAAAAAGGCCTGCTTAAAATATGCTTACGGTATCTTATAAAAAGTACTATTTTAATTACATTACAATTACATGATCACATTTTCAAATTATTTATAATTAATTCATAAAAACTGAAATGGAAGAATGTAAAAACTGAAATATTTTTTCCTAAGAATTTCACATCCTTTGGGTTGCAAATCTTTTGTGTTTAGAAGATTGTAGAGTAAATTATGTAAAATTATATTTATCTAAAAGAACTGACATAAAAGAAATGCAGCCATTCTAATGCTTTAGGGTCTGGCCCCCAGACATACAAATGAAAAGAACTTAATTTACTAGATTAGTGTTAGCAAGTTCAGGTCACATCCACAAGTTGATATTTAGTTAACTTTTTTTTTTTAATGTTATAAATGACTTTTTTTTTAATGTTATAAAGTCCCACAGACTTGCCCCTGACCTACTCCTCCACTCCCATCAAAGAATTCAGGGAGTCATGAATGGTTATTTTGCAGCTACTGTTATTGGAACAGCTATCAATCAATCATATTATAATTATTATTATTACTACATACTAATGTTAATCCATCAAGGGATATATTTTTCATTTTCATTTCATCTAGTGGGATGTTGCCACATTATTTCAGCAGTGAATAGACAGATGGTGTTCACTCAGTGTAATGGAAAGGAAGAGAATTCCATCACTGGGACCGCGATCTCCAATTAGTTTAAGCTCTTATCCCACCTAAGTAGGCAGAATAATAAAATCTATCTAAAAGCCCTCTGTTAATAAAACCACCTCTGCAGAGCAATATTTTGTATTCAGAACGCAAGAGCCTTATTCACTGGTTTAATTTTGAGGAAAAGAGATAAGCAAGAGTTTATTTTAGTTTATTTCACTGGCTTATGCACATACATAGGCTAGGGATCATTTATAAGGCCAAAAGGTCTCCTTATAGCAGTATGTGAAATTAGATCGCCTTGTTTCAGATACGATAGCTCATGTGTCAAAGGGCTGCAGCTGCTCTCACTCTTCTCTTTTAGCCTCACAGTGGAAAAAACAGATTCAACTCAGGCTTGTACATCACCCCCTTGGAGTGCTGGCACACAACTTCTGTTATCATCCTGTTTCCACTATCTTCTGCAAAATTAACTAAGAAATACTAAAGGAACTATACACTCTAATACACTTCAGAGACTTCAGACCAGTAGTTTAATGGAACTTTGATACTTGTCCATTGTGTCATAGTCATTAATCAGGCAGCTGTTCCTAACTATAGTTGGTCTGTCATGGGTAGAGAATGATGGTGGAGGAGTGGGGTTTAGGTGCCAATTGCTCCAATTTATCACAGAACTGCAAAATAAATGGACAAAGCAAGTCATAAAGCTGCTTTTAAAAAGTTTTTGTTAACAGTACAGTTCCAGTAAAATGCTTTGATTGCTATGTGAGCCACTCGATCAGGTCCTTCAGTGTTGTTAGCCACTTACCCTTCCTCTTTTATTAATACATAAGACATTTAGTAGCACAAATAATAAAAACAGCCCGTGAAAGCAGGTTGCTGAAAACAGATTTTCAAAGTGGCAAAGATTAAAGAACAGATAGAAGCAAATCCAGGCAGAAAGTGTTAAGAAAAAAAAGGTGCTGTTTATGTCATTTATGGTCATTAATTCTGGGACCTCGGATAAATTACAAAGTGTGAAATGTGCTAAGAACTATCAGTTTCTACTGACTTATGAACAGAGATACCTCATTATCCTCTATGGTTAAAATCCCCATTTTCAGTCACACCTTTCCGTAAGTGTATAAATAGTGATATGATGAAGAGCAAAGTGAGATGTCTGGGCAGAGCTGAGTTTTTGCTTCAGGATCTGTTACACTTCTGTTGCAAGTTTTGTGCAGATACTCACAAATGTTTTTTTTAAAGCTACCACCTAAAGAAAAAGCTTTTTCACTGTGAACGTTATCTAATGTAAATAACCATGTCACTTATAATCCCATGAACAGATTCCATGTAGTATTAAACTACAGTTACTTGAGGCTTGGCTCAGTTCTATCGCAAATGATTGCAGTGTAATGCAGTGGAGTCACAGCTCTTCAGATGCTACTACCCAAGACAGATAGTGAAGCAGGAAGCCCAAACTGGCAAATACAAATCTCAAAGGTCATATGACAGGTTTTAACCTAACCAGGCAACATGAATTTCCCAACTTAAAATGAAAAAAGAAAAAAAATTAATAATTAACACTGTGATTGAAAAATATGCTATGTAATTATTTTGCAGAGGGTGTCCATTATCTATGAGAAGCTAAAATGTTACATCCACAGAACATCAAGTGTAGAGGCCATCAGCTTCTTATTTTAATGGATCATTTTGAGAAAATTTATTCTATGGAATGTTTTTCCTAAATTAACTTTTGCTGAGACGTCTATCCAATTCAACCTACTAAGTTCTGGGTGGATTTGTATCTGGCCTACTAAGATGTTAAATTAACAATCATATTAACTAAGCAATTTTCTCCTAAGCTAAGTTCCATAATACTAAATTCTAGTAACTTTTGCCAAAGAACATTTCCTTTTCTTCTAGTAATTTTTAAAGTATCACATCTTGGGTCTCTGAAAAAATGTTAAGCATTAAATTATCCTGAACTTCTCATTAAAAGACTGAAAGTTCTTTCTAATAGCCTTACAACTCCAACATAAGTAAATTCTACTTTTGTTTGAAAATTTAGCTTCATAAGAAAGAAATATGAAATACATAAGTCTTCAGTTGAAGCTGAAAGAGCTGAAAGCTGAAGGGAATACAGCTGCTCTATTTCCAGTCCTCTTGGTACAGTGAAAGCACCTTATTGCCAGCCCAACAACTTGCTATAATCCTGAGCTGCAGAGGTATGTACCATAGATTATTACTGCTGCAACCAAAGGTTGCTGGTAAGATGAAAATCATCTTTTCTGTATATGTATAAAGCATCTAGGGGAATGGTAAACAGTAACATATATTAGAGAACACAACAGACCTTTAAACAGTCATTTAATGTGTTGGGATTTATCTCATTTACCTCATTTATCTCCTCTTGAGTGGTGCAGCGTTGGAAATACTGTGACAGTTGTTCTTCATATTTACTGGCTTTGGAGCTCCAGTTAATACTATCACACTCAAATCCAGCAAGTTCTTGCTTCAGATTCTTTACAGAAACATTCAAGCAATTCTAAACAGGGGATGGATAAAGAAGCTTATGAAACTCAGAAAATGTATTGATTTAACCAATTTAAAATGAAAATAATTCTGAGGCAGAACATGCATAGCCAGTCACAATGGGCTCAAGTAAACAATTAAACCTTCACTGTGACAAGAGCAAGTCACAGCTCACACATGGTGTCTTCTCTGAGCACAGAGGAAGTGCCCTACTCCAGTCCTTGACCACCTGGTGATTAGTTCCTTTCTGCTATCAATCAATTTATGGAGTCTAAGGAGAAGACTGGCAATGTAGATAATCAAGGCTAGTCATAAGGGAATGTCTTCCCTTCTCACAGGGTAATGACAATCCTGCCATGAATAAATAACTCCTTTCTAAAATTATATATATTCTGCCATGCAAATCAGCCTGGAACCCACTAATAAGGTAAAATTTCATATATTCCCTTTTTGTTCTTTCATCATCCTTTCTTTATAGGAGAATAAATATGCAAGGCAAACTTTACAAAGTAGAAGGATTCTAATATACAGATCTGGCATTCAAGAAATCACCAACAGAGCCTTAAACTGCACAAAGAATACAAGAGAACAGAAAATAATTTTTTTAAGCACTGATACTTTAAGAGTTATTTCCTCCCTAATTCAAATCTATTTCAATGCTTTCCAGAGTAAGATCTGGAAATCAGAGCATTAAAAATTTTTAAAAAATGAAGTAAGATTTCAAATAAATTATTTTTTCTTTTCTTTTGGCAAAAGCAATTCATAATGTGAGTAACTACTGAAGAATAAGTTTCATTATTCCTGGATGTTTCACTTAATTTGATGGCTGTATGTCTGCAAACTCTAAAAGTAGAAATCTAAAAATGATAAACTGTTTCACATTTTACGTTTTGCTTTCTTTTAAAAAGGATCTTAAAGCTCTGTATTTATTTCTCTCAGAGTATTAATACATTTTTGTACATCCAAAAGTCAGTCAGATAGCTCCAATAATCTTATTTCATTTTTATGCTTGATTTCACAAATCATTCTAATTCTACTCACAGCTTGCTGCACTGCAGACAAGATATCCACTCCCTGGGTAATAAGCAGTTTGTATAGCTGTCTGATATGTGCATGTTTCTCCTGAACATTCACAAGGTAGACTTTAGAATGATGCATATTTTCAAGGTCCTCACATATTTCAGGAATATCCAGTTCTCCTGATATTGATAGACATTCCAGCTGGAATACATTAAAAGAAAATCAGTATACGTTTAAAATGTGAAAGGAAGCTTGCAATTCCTTTCTTACACATTAACTTATTAAATCCACATCAGCAAAGTCTAGGGTAAGTAATTGTATTTGGGTTCAGATCTGAATCACAAGTTCTCCAAATTTCATGAAGTTTTAAGTCCAAATTTTTAATTCTGATCAAAAGGTGATTTAATACTTTCTGTTTTGGAGGGGGGGAGATGACAGGCATCAAAACCAAAGAGTTTAACTGCCATGGGAAGAAAGTATGTGTTAAGAGATTATACTCACTTCTTTTTTAATGTAATGAAATTTAACTGTCTTGTTGAAAATCTCATCATATTCTGTCATCGTGTTCTTTACCATTTGATGGAGCTGAATAAGCTTACTTATTCTTTCAGAATTCTCTTTCACTGGAAATCCTTTCTGGGTTGGCAATTCTAATAATTTTATCAGGTACTCAAGCTCGGCATACAATTGCTAGCAAAAAAAGCAGAAGTTACTCAAATTATACAAATAAATGTACAAGTTCTCCCTTATATTTGATTAAATAACAACCTAGCAATGGTAAACTGCTTTGGGGAGAAATCAATGTCATGGTCTTTAAAACACTTCCTATATACTTTAATTCTTGCTAGGCATGAATCTAAACTATCACCCAGAAACAGCCTTGGATCAAAACAAGTCAAACTGACTTGTAGAGGAATGGCAGACTGAATTGCTAAAACTCAGAGACAGTATTCAGAGGAGGTAGGAAGCTCCGAATGACATTCCTCAGCCTCTGGCAAGCTCTAACTAGCATGAAGCTGATGCTCTCCTTGTAATTTCACCATCCCAATGCTTCTATATGACTTTAACATGCAGCTAACACTGTGCAAGATATTCTTTGGACACTAAAAGGTAAAATGCCTTGTCCCTTACCTTATAAACACGCACAAACCCTTCATTCATTGTCCCTGCTTACTGCAGGGGGGTTTGA